CAGACACTAGCGGAGACCATCAGTCATAATTCTGACAGACCAGGACCACATCTTCACACTTATAGAAGCGTTCAACCGGCGATCCAACAATCGAGTCTCCTAGAAGAACGTGACGTGTGCAGATAGAGTCGTGAAGTGTCTCGGATGAACTTCCAACCCTGGTCGATGAGAACTTCGAATCTGTAGGTGACATCCAGGAATTTTCTCCCCACCAAATACCTCGCGTATGTTTTGCCGGGAGACGAAGAGTCTTCACTTGTGCGTCTGATTTTCTGGGTCATCCTCCCGTCAGTGTGGCGGGCAAGATATATAGGCCATTTGACGGTGAGACGTCCACAATGCTTCGAAATCACATAGTCCTTATTCATTCTTCCTTGTCTCACGACTATATTGGCAAAACCGTTACGTACATTGTTCGCCCCATCTTTGCGCATAGGAATTTTACCCCGGGAGGTGGTTATCATCGAGGTAGATTGGTGGTTAGGGCGCAAGCCTACCGACCTGAAGGTCCGTGGTCAAGTCAAACCTCTGGATCTCCACTCTCCGTTTCTATGATTTGGTAACTTGACATTATCTCCGCTCCGGTACTTTTTTCCGATGACATGAGTGTTAGAAACAGGAAGGGCCTTACAGTTTAATATTCGCTACCAATGTATGGAACTAGCGGTAAAGCAACCTGAGGACTATATCACTTATGTCGGTAGAGTCAACCTCGAATGCGAACATTTCAAGTTGTCTACCATGATTGAAGACCAGTTCAGCTGTCTTATTTTAATGTGTAGTCTTCATTCGCATTCAGACAGTGATATCAGGGCGAGACTTTGAACAGGAACAAACTCCCGATATAACGCTGCAGTCCATTACTGATGAGTGCCAGCACCTTCCAACTATTCAAGACGACACGGCCATGATAGAGTGACGCTTATCCAACTCTTCTCTCAACATTGCCAAGACGACATCGAGGCAACCTCCCCTGGTGACAAATTCGAACGGAGGAAAGCTCCCTTCAGAATGCTGGAAATGCGGTGAATGGCATTTTGTGGGACTGTCCGTATGAAAAGCACAAATGTTCAGTGTGAAATCGAGTGGGCACAAGGAAAGTCAGTGCCGGGCGCGGAAATTTAACCAAAGACGCAGCCGAACCTTTAGGTCACGAAGCAGACGGAGCCAATCAAATCCCCGTTTTAACGCAGTACTTGCAACATTTGATAACCAGATCGATGCTTGTTGCAAGTACGTTACAATCAAAGCAAACGGAAGCACGATTCGATAGCAGCTCGATACGGCTTCCGATATTACGTATATGCAAATGTTATCTTCCTTTACGTTTGGGACACCTGACCCATTCGATCAAAAGAAACTTGAACGTCTTCAGACGTTTGGACACCGGTCTTCCGATGGCATAGCAAGTGTTAACTAAACACAGCCGGGTTATATTCACTGTTATATGGGTAGTTTTCACTTTACAGTGAATAGTTTTCACTTTCTGGCTTCATGGGGGCACAGAAGGCACACTAATGGACGCTTATCCACACATAGAGCACAGAGCGACAGACAAACAACCAGGCGGTCTGACTAAGATGTGACGGTAAGCTCGCCAGTGGGATCAACTAAGCGTCATGTCCCGTAGGGTTTCCTGCCACAAACGAGGAGGTTCACGCGCTCCCCCCCAGTAGGTGCAAAGATCCTACGAAGCTCAAGTCGGCAACGCACCTTTTCATTTCGCGTTCCATGTCTTGGCCAGTGCAAACTTTCGCCATCGAGCGTTCGGAGTGGAACACATGTTTACTTTTCCTAGACAGGTCGAGCCAACCAACCTGACCCGGCAAACTCGATCTGCCGCTCGAGGGGACTCGGCTCGTCCAGTACTCACGGATAGTTCCATCATCTACATGCTTCTTCCTATTAATGCCCACAACGTTAGAAAGACATCGGTAGCAAGTACCTGAAAAAGTCCGTCTACGTGTCTGGCAGACCAAGTGTCATTGCCATAGATTAAGACTGCTCTTAATTGTTTTGTATATACGACTCTAGCCTGGGTGATGTTTCATTGCTAACTCCAAAGCTGACGCAAGTTGGCAGGTATTACTAGTGCACTAGAGCTGTTTACATTATATTCGTCTATCACCTTGCGGTCACGGCTTATGCACCCGCCAAGATAAGTGAACCTACAAACAAAACCAGTTCTGAAGAAGCATCGGGGGGTGGAAAATTCCGAAGTAAAAATTGACGCTTTGCAGACCGGATATCGGGGCGAGATGGCTCAGTGGTTAGAGCGCGAATCTACTGACCGGAGGGTCCGTGCTTCGAATCCGACCTACGCCTCTCAGCTTCCCCTGTCTATGCTTGGGCAACCTGGCAGTATCCCAGTCCTCTCGCTTCCTTCGGTCTTCATGGCAGCCGAACGACTTTCGATACTGGAACAAAGGATCACGTCCGACTTTTTATTTATAGTAGTTTATGCAGATAGATTATCGTCAAATGATAATAAACGAAGTCTACCAGTCCTCCCGACACCATTGGAGATCACAGCTTATGGTGGCCAGCGGCAGAATTGAACAAAAACGGGAAAGGACACGCTCCTGGTGAACCTGACGATGTGGGGAGATCTTCTGAGTAGGTCACTGTAAACCCCAACACAGTCAAAAATAGAAAAAATTGGACGAAAAATATCCACACATTACAGGGGCATCCCTTGTGGGCCAAGCAGATATGAGCGAGCCAAGCTATGAACAGATTCGATGGCCCCTTTGAAGTCGAGATAACGCCACAATTGACCGGCAGCACGCGTCATGTAGTGCGATGTGGTTAACACACCACTTCTTCGTTGTCCCGCGTGATGAGACCAGACGTTAGCTGTTACTCAGGCTACTTGCCTTGTTCCAACTGCATTAAGGCTCATACATCTATGATTGGAGCAGTCACTTCGAGTACTTTTTGTGACTGAAGACCCAATGACTGAATGGTCTCGTTTCATTGGAACAGATTCTTAAATTATTTTAGACAACCTGATCAAGACAGCATCGGCTTTTGTAAGGCCCAGTGGCCCAACAGCGCTTCAAGGCAGATAGTTTTATTGGTACTTCAGAAACTGAATGGGAATCCAAACTCAGGACTCGAGCAGACAAGCAAGCGAACAACTAAATTGTCACCCAAAGTGCTCAGCCTGGTGGTCAAGACACTGGTCTTTTTATGTATTGTGTATGGTTGCCCTACCGACACCAGGTTTTTCTGTCCGGTTTTTTGTATCAAGTGGAAAAGTCTCCGGACGATCCCAGGCACATTAGCTTCCTCCATTTCCAGAGCCCTCTGACTTCACCAGGTTTCTATATACGCATACAAACTATGCTTGAGCTGACGTCTAACAGCTCTTTTGGCTGGATTTTGTGGAAGAGATACGACATCGGGGAATGGTGAGTGACAGTTGCTGTTCTGATATCCAGTGGTTATTTGGTGGACCTCCAGAGATACCATATTCTGAGTTGGTGCTACTCTCGTCCCATTTACTAGTGACGTTTGAGGATGCGGCTCTACATTTTGACAGAATTACTTAACTTGCGGCCAACTTAGGTGTCTAAACAATGAGTTCTTTCCTTAGGCTTGCAGCGTATGAGAGCCTGATATAAATCGGTTTGAGTGGTTCTCAAAAGTCGACAATCAAGAACAACTTCAACATTGGGTGGTACTGGCTGCGTGGTCAATCTGACCTCACGTTGTTCACAAGTAGGGGGACGTCAGGTTGTGTACTGGCGCCTATTGCATCAGAATCCGACACTGATGGAAAACAACTTCTGATGGGTGTGAAGCTGTAAAATACTACCACAATTGCCTCTTTGTCTTGGAACCAAGCTCGACAGACCATGGGTTTACGCATCCGATGAAGTTTTGCATCGAGGTCGCCAGTGGCTAGGATAACACTTGATGACAGAAGAGTGGCTAGATCCTGATAAAAATTATCCTTGACTGAATCTGGGTCACTTACTGCGTGTGCAGAAACTGCAGATGAGGGGCGAATATTACTTCAGTTATGGCGAGTTCTGATATGAGGTGACAATCACACAACGCTAATGCGGTCATTTGCGAGGATCCAACCGATTTAGGAAGTCCCAGCTTGGGGATCGAGCTATGCCAATAACGGCATTATGCTCTGCAGTAGTTGCAGAATCGCTCGAAGTTGGTAGGCCGTTGCGCCTAGAAAGCGAAGCTGCCGGTATTTCGACTACTGTAGGTCGATCGATATGGTGTCGAGAGTACGCCCGTAGCAGCTTGGTAATCGACTCGCTTCAGAGTTCGTACACTGAAAATGACGACAAAAACAGGAGGACGGATTGTGAGAAGTGGGCGCCAAACGGCATACATGATCGATGACGTGCTATCAGCTACTCATCTGACATACCTGTCGCTTGGACCTACAGAACAGTGGTCGTCAAGTGGGAGGGAGTTAAGAGATAATACTGAAGAACGCTGGGTGTCTGCATTAGCCCGATTTCATCAGCCCATCGGGTTGTATGCATCAAGTGAGGCGACCCTGCTGATGGTACCGCGCGGTGGCCGGTGTGGCATTCCTACAGACCGTTGTTGTGTATGGGCTGGGATATTTCCTGAGCTCTGTCTGAGACCTACGCTACTGCAAGCAACACCGGCTCAAAATATGCGGGGACGCCGCCACTGCCTCTCCTGCATAGATGGACTCAATCCGCGACATCCAAGGAAACTGCTCATTTTCATCCAAGACATAAGAGAAGTGGAGTAAATTTGAGGAACGTATTCTGATGGCTAGAGGCACGTATTCTTTTGTTTACCTGGTTTTTCGTACCAAACATATGTAGAATCGGTTTGTCCCTTCACATGCATCGGTCGAAGAGTCAGGTGTGGCGTCCGGTTCCTTTCAGCACAAGCAGTCCACTGTAGAATCTGTACAACACGCTGGTTTACCTGATTATTTTCACTATTTATTCAATGGTGGAAAAATATACTCTTCCTCACTCTATCTTATTTAGGTTGCTTGTGAGCTCAGTCTTGTGCTTTTATGGACGCATCAGACAACATATCTCTCTTGAGCGTGGTGCGGTCATATTGAGTGAGATGAAAAGCAGCCTGATGTATTTGGAATCGGCGACCAGTTTGACGTGCATCGATGAACCTGACGGCTGCATTCTTAGTTCTCGGTTTCTTGCAGAATTTTTAAGCACACTGTACGACTCTTCTCACTCTTGGGTATGTACGAATCTCTGTGCGCTTATGTTGCCCCAGCCTTCCCATTCAATTCTCACGCTTCAAAAACTTAATGACGCGCTAAGGAGGCGAACACCAAGCGCTTATTTCAAGTTCTCTGGTGGACACGAATCAGTAACTTTTTTGTGTGATAATGATGCCCTTCTAGTTATTGAGTCTTTCTCCTGTGACAAAATGGCCACAAAAGGCTGGCTGGAGTTTTCACTGTTGGCTTTCTTTGGATGATAGTGAACCAGGTGCGCAATCACTCTATTGGTAAGAATTGGCGAATTGCTTCTTGACACTTTCGGAAGTTTCCAGACCACAGAAGATTTGGGTTTCAACGCCCATCTCGAAGATAAGCACTTGGTGCTCACGACCATTCGCACTCAGGGTAAAGGTTTCCAACACCGAGTTCGGGCTAACTTAGAAGCTACAGAGGTTTGTCCCCGGGATATATTCGCTCATATTTTTTAGTGGTACATGCTGACGATCGTGTACGTGTACAGTCGTTGGGGTCGGGGAGAAATACAAGTGTACATAAACGGGGCTTTGCAGTCTTCTGTGGAACTTTCATGGTACATTGGGTCAGATCATGTAAGTTTTAGTCGTTTCTTGTTGTTATTTTCTTCATTTCATTTCTCTCATATCTGTGTAGCAGATGCGTTGTTGAGATGGCACACTGTATTTTCTGAACAGCGTCGTCTCACAAACTTGTTCCACTTCTCCTACGGTTTCAGAGCTTGAGCAACACGCACTGACGTCAAAATATGGAAACACATCGGGATCGCACAATCCATGTTAGCTCTTTAGGTCTACTCAATTTGCTGACGGAGTGTGCGAATGGCTGCATTACTTCCACCATTTTTTTATCACACACAAGTGGACTGTAGAGGATCCTAGAACCGGGAGTCAGTTCATTGTGAAAGGTATACACCAAAACCGAAAAAGACACGTAAAGTTGCATAAAACTTTAGGTCGAGCTGAATAGCAACGGATTCGGTGTCTGTGTTGATTAAGGAAGATGACATGTTGGCGAGTCTCCGAGACAGTCGGCTCCTGAATAAAGAAAGAGGAGTTTTGGCTTGCATCGAATTATATTAAAGGACTGCTCGACTAAATGGGAAGATAAAATAAGCCCTTGTAAACATGTGTGAACAATTATTGGGGTTCATGTTTCTCGTGGTCCTCATCCAGTGCCGGGACGACTGGGTGTCTGCTTCCAAACTTATAACTCTGCTTGGTCCTATTAGTGTATGTTAAATCCAGCTGCACCACACATCTGGTCTCCCAACTACGTTTCTTGACTAATTGAATCTACTGACCGACCAGTTCGTCCCTATGTTCTTCCTGTTGGTGGCCAAACGCCGAGTTTTTGCTTACCTTTTATTCGCCGTATCTGTGCTTCCGATCCCTAAAGCATATCGGCAGCGTGATGTTGCATTGGTGCACAACGGTGTACGTTTCGAGAGCGTTTGATCGTTTATGGCATACGAGTTCACTCGCCTGCATAACCTCCACTTTCTTTCAGTCCACTTGCAAGATCGCCTTGACGGCGTCGTCTCTTTCCAGATTTGTGATGAACTTGTGCATAGCATAATAAATGTCTGCCTTGTGAGTCTCACCGATTAGGATTCGTCCGCCGCGCAACCTTTGGCCTGCCCAAATACCTACGTCTCTGCATTCGTTCACCCATCAACGTCCAGTCTTGTTCTCGTCGTCAGCTTAATCTTACCCACAATCTCTGACATGTCGTTTCTGGGTCTAAGGTGCTTCCATATTCTTTCGGTTGTTCCTTCTCAAGTTAGCTATCGCTTTTTCTCGCTCCTTCGACTACACCTCAAAATCATTCACACGTCTAACCGGCCTCTTCACTTCTGGAGGTCCACCTCAAGCAGCAACACGAAGCTGTTTTCTTCCCGCTTGGAACATCTAAGCTCCGAAACGCCTTTCCCTGCTTTCTCCGCTCACTGTAACTTCCAGTTATCAGGTCTATGGTTAAAGGTTAACTATGCACACCTTTCTACCTCTACGACTCTCGTTCTTTCAATCTCTGTCCTTGTTGTAAATGCCCCGGTGTCTCTATTTTTGTTATGTCGTCGTTTTTACAGGACCTCACTTATTGTTATCATCATCCTGCACAACGATGATTTAATAGTGATGTCTGGCTGCCATATAATCATGAAGATAGGAGCTCTAGTAAAGAGTGGTAAAAGGGACAGGCGAAGGCATCTAAAAAATAACGCAGTTGCCTAGGGAAAGTGGGATGGAAAAAGGTGCCTTCATTTTGCAATAAACAAATTCGAGAGAAACTTAACGTACCAGCCAACAAAAGTAAAGTTTAGCCTTGCAGTCCTTGTAAAAAGCTGCCAAACGGTCACCTTAAATTTTTTACCATGTGCAAATAGAGTCTTGTGGATTCTAGCCGGGGAAGTTCGAATATCCTTCAGCGCTCTGTTTACATTGCCACGTCATAGATTGTCGCCGTCACTCATTGGTCAAAAAGAGTTTAAAGTAGAGAGTTCATCTTTTCCCGACCGTGGGTTCTCTCTTCCCTTGTAACCTATCCCAGCAGTCTTTTACCATCTGGTCGCCTCAGTTAACGTAAGGCCTCTATGGGCTACGAATCATCAACAATAAAGCCGAGTTCATAGCGGTCGTTAGTGGTCCCGTGGAACTCCCAACCCCCGTTACCTACACAGCTTCGACCATTATTCTGAATTTCCGGGGAAAAAGCGAAATAACTGCACGCATTAGCAGTTTTAGAACATCATTCCCGGAAGGTATGAAAATATGAGCTAAGAGCCAAACAAGAGATCCTCTAAAACTCATATTGGGGGGCTACCACTTGTCCAACGCTGACTTTCGGATATGAAGTCTACTGTGTGCGGATTGAAGATAGTCGATAATTCAAAGTATTCGATTACCAGTGTCACAGACGAATCCTCAGTGGGAGTGGTAGATAAGGTGTCGAACGATGCTTGGATGTTCAAGGAAGTTTAGCCTCATTCGTCAACGCCGGGTTTAGTAACGTCGAGTTATTAAAAGACCAGCTGAAGACTATCGCGCCCCTCCTTCCCCCCACCGTTTCTCGGTTTGTGCATTCTGTGCAACTGATACTGACTCACATAGCCGTAGTGGATGGCCATGGAAAACTGAAGTAACAAAATATTGCGCTATATCTGCCACGCAAGCGAATAGCACACTGGCGTCACATAGTTTAATTCAGTTATTTTGGGTTTTCATGGAACAGTTAAGTTCTATTCGTTGTCTTGTGCAGTAACATTGATCACCTTAGTGGCTTTGAACTTAATCCACACAGGCATCCGGTCTGTAGACATTGTTCGCTATTGTGAGTAAAATTGTAGAAACGTTGATTAGGCTGGACCGGTCGATTTTATCATGGAATTCGCGTTCTATAGTTTCCGATGAGTGCAACTATTCAGAACGAATAACCTCTTTGATTTGTACCACCTAACAACCAGTAGCGAATTGACAATATCAGTGGTACTGTGATAAAACTGTGAAAAACTATTGCAAACAGAAAATGTGGCCGCTACAGGTACACCGCCGTAGAGAGGAAGACAATTCAGATTAATTTGAAAGGTTAACACATCAAAGAAACAGACAGCTGTGTCTGGTCTGGAAGGTCCTAAATTTGGTAGGTAATGTAGTAGCAACCAAAACTTTAAAAAAACAGGATAAACTGACGGTTCTCTTCAGATCTTTTCACACTGTGCCGTGTTTGCCCATTTGTTTGATCTGAAGGTGTTATTTTCTGTAATAGAAAACTAGCTCCATACTTGGCACTATTTATTTCGATTTTGATAACTGGCTACTGGAACTTATTCAGCCGTGACAGTCCCCAATGATCAATTCGTTTAATCCGAGTAGCAATGCAACTGAGGTCAGAAGTCTTGGGATAATGATATCTTTTTGAAGCCAAACTATTGCTCAACATGACTTTGGATCCTTGTTATATTGTGGCCTGCTTGGTCGATGGGCTGCATTAAGTTTTTGGTTAGGAACGCCGTATGCTCCGGATGAAAAACCTGCAAAAAGTTCCAAAGCACGATGTTCTATCGGTGGTTCTTCCACTGCAACCAAGTGTCCCTCATTTCGCGGTCGGCTGTCGTCGGTGATGGGGTTCAGCGTGGCGTTGTCGCAAGAACAGGTGGAGTCAATCTTCGCGCTTGGTGTAGAATATCAGGTACTTTCTTCTATTAGTTGACTATTAGTTGACTCTTATCGCGTCAGTCCTGGATGGAAAGGGTTGTATGGTTTCCAAGTAGAGTTTCCTGTTTCCTTTGGTCACTTCACACTTGTTCCTTTAGCTCGATATCAGTTTTCTGATTGTCATCTCTGTTTATTGGGTAACAGGGGGCAATTTAGTCTTTGATATTTTGACGGACAAAGCGGAATTCGGAGGTTCTCGATGACTTATGTAGAAAATAAACATTCGCTTTGAGGGGATCTGACCTTCCTTACGTTCGGTCGGTGTTCCTGTTTTTCTGGCGTGATCTTATTTCAACTGTTGACTAACGCCTAAGATCACTGCAGTTGGAGGCTAGGTTGTAGTGATGGTCCGTGAGTTGTTCGCTGCGCCTGGCAGTTTGATTGTAAAGACCTCATCACCAGTCGAGGTCACCCACATTGGTGATGAAAATTTTGCAAGCAAATAGTCCGGCTCACCAAGTCCACTACCATGGTTGCAACCTGAGCCACCAACATTACTCTCAAAGATATACTAACGGGAAATATTCACGGTAGACCAGCCTTGGACCATCCGGATGCTCGGGTCTTAGCATGAAAATGTGGTAGATGGAAGGTGGGATTGCCGACAACGGACAACCGCACCCCCACCCACAACGCACCCTGACCGCAACTTGTGATGAAACGTCCGCAATCAAATCACCCAACCCAGTGAACAAATCAACAGTCTAAATTATCGCTGTCACTGAGTGAGTCAACAAGATCGATAGTGGGGTGGAATGTCGAAATACATGTCGGCTACTGTTTTAAGTATTCAATTTTAGATGATTGCACTACATATTGCACCTGATTCACCGTTTACTGAATTTGTTTTCATCCATAGCGGTATCCATCAGCTATATGTCTGTCTCTACTTTGCACCCTTTCATCCCGGTGATTTTCTGAATGAGTCAATTCTCTGGTCGATCACGTTGGTACACACGGATGAGTCTTGTTACTAACCGCCTGTTCAAACGTGTCCTTTAATGGATGCATTGTTCCGAGCATCACACAGCTTGCTTGCAGCATTCAGTGTCTGAACGGCCGGCTAAACACCATGTGTCAGCAGGTTGTCCTCTCTATTCATAAGTAACTGACTAGATACGCAGGTAGCTACATGGTTTCCGATAATTAGGCAAACCAACGCGCCCCATGATCGCTGTGATTTTTATACAGTAGTCACTGCTCTTGTTATGTCCTTCACAAACGCACTTTAGCTTTACTGCCACATAAATCGTCGTTCAGCTGTAACACCCTTCCGGTGCCCAGCTGCCATGCTACGCGAAGGAAGCACGAGGGCTAGGATACTGCCGGGTCGCCCAAGCCTAGGCAGGGGAAGTCGAGAGGCAGAGGTCAGGTTCGAACCACGGACCTTCCGGTCAGTAAATTCGTGCTCTAACCACTTGAGCCATCTCGCCTTTCTGCCTCTCAACTTCCCCTGTCTAGGCTTGGGCAACTGGCAGTATCCCAGCCCCCATGCTTCCTTCTGGTGGCATGGCAGCTAGTTACCAAATGGGTGATATGGCTGAACGCTTCCCTTTCCTGAGGATTCCTTATTTTGTACGACTCGCTTATTCCGAAGGGGGGGACGAGATGGATCAAGTGTTTAGAGCGCGAATTTACTGACCGGAAGGTCCGTGGTTCGAACCCGACTTCTGCCTCTCGACTTCCCCTGTCTAGGCTTGGGCGAACTGGGAGTACCCCAGCCCACGTGCCTCCTTCGTGCGGCACGGCAGCTAGGCACCGAAAGGGTGCTACGGCTTTTATTCTGAACTAAAAAAATGTAAGTCGTCACAGGCACGTATTGGGCTATTCTTGACATCCTCATTGTTCTACTCCGTAGGATATCGTGGTGAAATTTTTCACCAATATTTTCGTCCAGCTAACTGTAAATCTTAACACTAACTGCACGACGTTCATGTTAACCAGTTCAGAGGGTTATCCGCTGCGTCACGTGTTTATTTTCTATTGTCTACAGGGTCTATTTCAGTTTGAAAGCGAATGTATTCGAGACCTATCAGAGCAACATCGCAAGTTGATCTATGGTACTGGCAACCTACACAGCAGTCTTATGTTTGCGTATCTTCCTTCGGCTCGAGAACAAAACTTGTGTCTGAATCGTGCACCTAAATGTCCCGAAGTGTTCGCTCACAGCTCTCATGCAGTCATGCACGGAGTAAGTCTCAGTACTCGGTTGCACTGGTGCATTTTTCTGTCATCCCACACGAATTTCTAGAAGACCTTGCATTATATCATCATCCTTCTTACTTTCAGCATTCTACTGTCTAAATAAGTTTTGAACCTTTCTGTTAAACTGCTCCATTTCCAGCAGGGTCTAGGAAGAAGCAGTGGTCTGTTTTTATGTTTGATAAGCTTGACAATAACCCTTGTCATCAGCATGGAATCGGTTTCACTTTGGCACACAAGTATGGAATTTATTGTTGACAAAGCCTTGCTAGTAAGAAGTAAAAAAAGAGGGCAGATAACGGATGAAACAATTCAAATCAGGTTTAGCCTCGCCTACTCAGTTGGACAATTTCAAGAGAGACTAGCGACAAGAACGATAATCAACTTCGAAATGTTTCGGCTCTTCGCCAAAACGCATAGTTCTCGTGGACCCCATACTGTGGGTTGGATCGCACGAACGTCAATCAGACCTTCCGTCGTACCAGGATTCTGTCAACCGGAGCTTTCCATTGAAAACGCGGTAGACAATAACTTGGCATATTTAGCACGTGAAAGCATCCGATCGATGCACTATTTCCGGTTGACATTAGTGTGACGTACACTTATCTGCGGGGTACCACCGGAATTCACTACACTTTATTCGGTTGAGCCGGAGATATCTCTGTAGTTAAGGTGCGAACTTGAACGGAAGGTTCGTGATTCGAACCCAACTGCGGCATCTTGACTGCTACCATCTGGTCTTGGGCAACCCGCCACTACCTCAGCCCTCATGCCTCCCTTTGTTGACACGGCAGCTAGCCACCGAAAGGGTAACACAGCTGAACGACTAACTTGTTTTATTATTTTATTCGGTTGTTTCTAAGGGTTGACTATGCAGCGCTTACTCCAGTATGTCTGAACTCCCCGTCGACGTCACTACTTGCTCATTACCCGAGCCGGAAAATTCTTATCCAATCCCAAACTACATCCCAGTGGTTGTTCCAATTTGTAACTAAATTGAAATCAGCTATTTTGTGCGCAATATTGATCGTTATTTGTGCTTTGTTGAGTGATTGAGTGCTGCAGTGGTGCATGCGTTTCTCATCGATATCGTAAGTTTGTCATTTGGTTTAAGTAGACTATGCAGCTTTATAAAGGATGCGATGGCAAGGATCGCCGAATCAGTTCAGTTTTATTGTGCTGACTCATACGTCTACTGATTGAGCATATAAGCGCTTGGCGATGGGTTGCGACCTTGGTAGCTCGGTAGTTGGTTGCGATCGGGTCAACAGCTACCTGCTAATGGACACTTGTTGTCAACTCACTTGGTGACTGAGATGACGATATTTCGTGCGTAGTTGAGTCAGTGTTACTAAAAGGCGTATCGTTTGTGAACATAGAATGAATACATCTGGTCGTTATTTGGATTGAGTAATTCACCGTTTTGACACCACATGAACTTCAAAGTGACAACTCGGTTTGCATATACAGCGGTCCTCCCAACTTGTCATCCCTGAACAAGGGCCCTTTTTCAGCTTCCTCCCAATCCCACTGACTATTTTAAGGCTACTACTGTAGATGAAATTCCAAACCCTTCAGAGGAACAGGAGAATTTCGGCTGCCACGTTAGCCACGGTTTCTTCCAGGAGCCCTTCCTGTCAGAAATCAGGAAACGCGAATAGTACCTAAGCTGATAATTGACTTATGTGCAGCCAAGGTTAACTCTTTTGGTTACTTCTAATGTGCATCCATTCCATCGACTGGAGCTTGACAACCGAATTTACCGTACAGAATGGTTTTCCCCATGGTTTTTTTGTAATGTAACTTCCCATAGGTGCCAAGTTGGTACGGTTGTTGTTATCAACTGTAAGTGTACTTCAGTGTACTGATCAGCCGATTCGCTAGACGACTACTCAATTACCTGGTTGCTAACTCAACTGCACAAGTCCGTGTCCTTGGTTGAGCGCGTCATAAAAAATGAGTTATTCCAGTCCCTCAAAAGTGAAGTGAAAATTGTTCATCTCTTCCCAAGGGGCATCATGGGATACTACTGAAGTAATGCAAGGCTATGTTTGGGCTTCAATAGTTCCGGGCAATTGACGGTAAATGCGTACATCGTGTGCATATATATATATATATATATATATATATATATATATAATCGTTGAGGTCTTCTGGAGCACACTTGCTGGTTTTGTAATCGCGTTCCTGTGCTTCTTGTTCGCACTGATGGGCTTGTTCATATCACCCCATTCGTTAATCCCTACCCCATCAGAATGTGGAAGCTGTTTTGAAGACAACCGTCCATTCAGCATTTCACAGTCTTGGAGGAGTGGAAGCATTGTATCCTTTGTTCGAACTCATTGACCTTCCACTGTCTCATGATTCGGAAAAGCCATCTTCCCATCATCACAATCGCTCCGATGAAAAGATTATGAATTCTGTAGCACCTTTAACCGTCGAAACTGAAGATTCGTTTACGTAAGTTCCTTGCAACCCCCCCCCC